CCTTTAATTGCTTTTTCTGGCCTGGTTGGTGCCACAGGAGGTTAACCCTTTGGACTGCATCTCCGTCAATACCTTGCTGGTAAGCATCCTTTGGGCTTGTCAGTGAGAGCCATTGCCAGGACATGAGATTATGTGAGAGAGAAGGAGAAGCAAGGCTAGAGGAATTTTTCCCTTCTTGTTCCCTGTGACATGTCCCCCAAAATGACTCTGTCCCTTCCAGGGCACGGCAGCTCCCCAATAGCCCAGGTTGTCACAGGGAGAGGTGGTAACAGCTTTCTTCTCTCTCAAGTCTCTGGGAGCCTTACCCCAGGTTGATGTCCTCAGTAAGTAGTCCCTTTATTTAAGCCTCATCATCTGAAACAAATGGGGTGGATTCTGCTTCCTGCTTAGACCTTGACTAAACTACCAACTTAAGCTTCGCAGGTGCAATTTACCAATTAGATCCCCTCTCTACTTCAGTGGTTCTCACTCTTTGCTGTGCACAGGGATCACCTGGGGAGCTTTAGCACCTGTGATCTGTCTCGAGAAGTTCTGACGTAATTGGTCTGGAAAGCCTCGGCATCAGGATTTAAAAAATCTCTCCAGCTCGTTTGATTGGGTAGCCAAGGCTGATAAGCACTGCTCCAGCCTCACACACCTCCTGTACAGAAGGGAGAATTCTAACACGTAGTGAAAACAACTTCCCATAACCTGCGTTTTATTTCTTACTTTCTTACAAATTATTGAATCCTTCCTTCTAAAGGGATGTTGTTTTCTACTTATTCACAAAAGCATTTTTAAACAAAGTGGAACAATTTTAAATGCATTTACATAACTGTTTCTTCAAGAGGTTCAAAACAAAGAACAGATATTTCTAGAAAGCATAGAAATCCACTATATGTACTTGTATTTTGAATAGGGTGTGTGCAAGGGTGATGGCAGTGGCTGCTGTCATCATGGAGCTGCAGCAGGGAAGCGCAGCTGGGGCTGTCCTGGAGCCCGTGGGGACCCTGCCCATTTTGAGTTGGGACAGGAGCTCCCCATGTGGCTACAGCCACCCAAACCACAGCTGCAGACCCAGGCCTCCTGCTCTAGGGAGCAGGAAGGAGCCCCATCCTACTGGGTGAGGCTACAGCCGCCCAAAATGCAGCTGTGGATCAGAGCCTTCCTGTGCTCTTGGGAGAACCGGGAACAGACAGGATCTGCCTTCCCAGGTGCTGCTGCAGCCGCCTCATTCGCGGCTGCAGACCTGGGCCTCTTGCCCCAGGAAGCAGGCAGGAGCTGGGGACTAGTGGGAGCCCTGCCTCTTCTGAGTTGGTGGGGCGGGAGCTCCCGGGTGCAGCTGCACTGACCTTCCAGGCACAGGACCTGGGCATCTCTGCAGCCTACACCCTCGAGTGCTCCAGAAAGGACCCCTGTCCCTGCAGGCTCAGGGGTGTCTGCTCCCAGTGCCTGGCCTCTCTCTGCTCCCAGCACCCACTCCAATCTCCCAGAAGGGTTGAGACCAAGTCCCAGTAGGAGGCTGACAGAGTCCTCAGTGGAAGGAAGTGGATCTTCAGTAAGGGCCCACCCTCAGGCCAGGGAGAGCCTGAAGACTAGGTGCTAGGCTGCCAGTCTCATGGTCTGGAGTGGGGACTCCTGGTGCCTCTTCCTGGCCCTCCCATGGCCACCCATGGACCAATCGGCATGCATTTCCTCCCTTCTGAGGTCCATAAAAGCCCCGGGCTCAGCCAGAGCAGGGCAGAGACTGGCCAGAGGACAAAGAGGGCAGAGAGATGATGGGACCAGAGGACCAGCTGCAGAGAAGAGCACCCTCTCCACTGACAGCTTCAGAGATGACCTGCCATCAGAAAGGGGCTACCCACTCCTCTGAGCTGTTCTAACATTAAATGAAACTCTTCACCCTTCACTTGTGTGCCTCATTCTTCCTGGATGCAGGACAACAATTTGGGCAAAGGTGCTGTGGCCACAGAGGTTCCCAACCAGAAAAAAATCAACAACACCCCAGAAATCCCCTAACAAGGGTAAGTTTTTCAGGAAGGAAAAAAGAGAATCAAAGAGCCATTGGGGGATGCCACAAGAAAAAAAAAATTGCAGGATTAGTAACTGTTGAAAAACTACTATCTTACAAATATAATAATAGAGATTCTAGTGCCACATAATTAACTCATGCCAGGTCCATGGCTGATCTGGGTTTGCTGATCTTCTCTGAGAATGAACCAGATTAAAGCGCTCACAGCTTCTAGCACATTGAAAAAAGCAGTGAGAAACTTTAAAATGTTCAATGTTTAAAACACCCTTGCCATTTGGCAGATTTTAAGATACAAGAGAACCTTGACCATACTCTTTAAAATGCAATTGCTTTTTAAACACACATTTGTTGATGGTGATAGAATTTAATATTTGTGAGAAAGAACTGATTCTACAAAGCTTTTCCTCATTTCGAGGGTCCCAGGAATGTTGCAGCTAAATAAACGCTGTGCCTGTACCAGTCAGTTATTGCTACATTAGCCTCTGGCATGCAGCAAACAGCATTTATTTCTCATTCACAGTTTGTGAGTCACTGGGGCAGGTCAGCTGGGGGAACTTGTTTTTCTCCTGGGACCAGTGAACAGCCCAGGTTTATTTCTTCTAACAACCCATTAGCCAAAGAAAGCCTCATGGCTATGCTCACATACAAGGGCAGGGGAAATACATTCCATCTTTAGTGGGAGGCACTGCAAGGTTACATGGCCAAGGGTGTGGATACAGGGAGAGATGAATAATTGGGACCAATAATTCACTTTACCACCAGCCCTAAAGCAAAGTCTGTCGAAGATGACTCTCAATAGTGTATTTACAAGTAGAACATCTTGCTCTAGAGTGATATCACTGACAAGTTCTAGAACCCTGTAGGGCAGGTAAGATGACTTTTTGTGTCCAGACAAATGGCAGTACTCATCCATAGGCTCTCTGCCCCAGGGCAAGGTAGGTGATGCTGGCTTTTCTTGGCTGCCCTACCCCCAGAATACCAAAATGATCTCCAAAGAAGTAATCAGGGTTTGAGGGGAGGAGGAGAGCATTGAACAGGTGGTGCATGGAGAATTTCTGGGGCAGTGAAACTATCCTGTGTGATACTGTAATAGTGGATACCTGGCACTATACTTTTGTCATAACCCATAGAACTTTATAGCACAAAGAGTGAACCTTAATGTATGTAAATTTTTATAAAATCATTTGGGAGGTCAGGGATCCCATTTGGGACCCCCAAGGTGTAGAGATAGGTTAAAAACTTAAGATGCATGCACAGACACATCTGCAGTGGTGAAAAACTCAAGTCCTACACAAAACTTTGCTACCAAAATTTGAAGAAGAAGACAAATAGTATAAAATCAACATTCATGGGTGATCTGCAACTTGAATCAATAGAAATTTATTGACTGTTGTGAAATAAAGTTACATAGAATACAAGAGTCTATGCTATCAGAAATACAATGGCACTCACACCATGATCCGACTCTTGCCTCCTTGATCTCTTTTTGTATGACTTTTCCCTGTCCCCGGCCAACTCACTATGCATATGTCAACCAGTCCACCTTCTTCCAGTTCCTAGAACACCAAAATCGTTACTATCTTAAGGCCCTTGCCTTGCTGTTATCTATGCCTGGAAAGGTCTTGCTCCATCTCTCCAAGGCTGGCTCCTTCTTCTCTTGAAGTTTCATCTCAAATAGGAGCCTCTTGGTGCCTCCCTCTAGAATGGAAGCTCCATTACTGTCTTTCACTAGTGCATTATCCCCATCCCCTAAAGCCCTGCTTGGCATGTAGTAGGTGCTCAATAAATATTTGTGGACCAAAGGGGCTACTCATTTATTAATATTTATTAATATCAGGGCCCTGATGGAGTATGGCCTCTGCTTTGGAACGGTTGCTGTGAGGACAGTCAGGAAGCCCCACACTACACACACTGAACCAAGAGAGAGTCCATGTAAAGCTCCTGGGTGGTCACTCTGACAGTCTTAAGCACTCTAAGAAAGGCATCAAAGCAGCTTCGTGCTCAAGTATTGACCCAGATCTGCAAAGGACGTTGGGGTGGGGAGATGCTTAGCTGATAAATAGAAAGCTACCCCTGTCTAAAGCAGGGATGGTTGGGATATGACTGCCTTGGTACAAAATGGGAGCAGGAAATAGGACAGGCCCAAACAAGGGCTCAAAAAAGGAAAAAAAACAAACCCCAAAGCAACAACAACAACAACAACAACAAACTCTTGCTGCTGGTGGGAAACCTAGAGGGCAAGCTTCTTTTCCACACGAGCCCTGCTGGCGGCTGTGTGTGTGTGTGTGTGTGCACGTGCGTAAGAGCACGTGCGGGGGATGTAGTGAAAAGTACAGTGTGAAATGAGGAAATAAAGGATATCTTCTCAGTCAGTAGCCATGGGAGGAACGGGGAAGTACAAGGTCCTGAGAGCATAGAGATGATGGAATTTTTATATATTGGGGGAGAAACCCAAATCTAGTAATGACCATGTGTAATAAAAACTACTAGTATCATGAAAAACAGTATATTTCCACAACTAACATTAGAGGGGAAAATGAAGAAAATTAGGAAAAGTAAAACTAAAAAGAACAAACAGCAAATGGCAAGCAAAAAAAATGATATAGAAAACATAACCCAGTATGTGAAGCATCACAGTTGCTCTGTACTGACTAAATTCTCTGAAGACAAAGACTGTCATGTTAGTTACAAAATAAAAGCCAGGCATAATTTATTTCTAGAAACAAAGTTATAAAGACAGATTGGAAATGAAAGCAAGGACATACTGAGCAAATGCAAAGGTAAAACCAAAATCAAACCAGCACCAATAGCAACATTAATATCAATTAAAATGCAATTTAAAGCCAAAAAGCATTAACCAGCCAAAGATGAATAACATATAATGGGCAATGTTAATCAATGAAGAAGCTCTGTATAAAATTCATAAACCCTAATAGAATACAAAATACAGCAGTCACATACATAAAGCAAAAAACCCAGAAATACAAGAGAAGATTAATAAAAATATATTTATTGTGGGAGGTTCCAATATTCTTTCAGAATTGGACAATTCAAGTATACAATTAAAGATATAAAGGATTTAAAAACTACAATAAACTATAATTTTTTTCTCATATTCACGTAACACACAATCATATACTTGATTAATGGCATTAAATAAAACTGTAATTGATTTCCCAAAAGCAGATTTTTAAACTTTCACTCATTCAAAGAAGAGATAAGCAATAAAATGATTTTTTAAGTCTCTAATTACTGGGACATTAAAAAATCTCTTCCACGTAATTCCTAGTTCACAGGAGAAATCAAAATTGAAATCACAAATTAAGTATCCAAAAGGGAAAAGAAAAAAACACTGTATCAAAACCTATTGGATACAGCAAAAGCTATGTTCAGGGGAAATTTTGTAGCCTTAAATAATTGTATTATTTAAAAATAAAGCAAAGCAAAAGACACAAATTCTTGACTATCCCAACATAATTGAAGCTGTTTGCATCTTATTTTTCCTTGATAATTGAGAAAATGACTAAGAATGTCCTTGTGCTTCCATTGATTTTCAGATTTTCTTCACTTGTACTATTTTCTCTTTTCATTTCTTCTCTTTGTTAGTGTCACAGTGAGTACGAATAAAGCGATCAATAATTTGTCTATCTGAAAAGTATGAAGAAAAACAGGATGAACATTTCCATGTAAGTATTTAAATGCTAAATTGAGAAATTCTAGGAAGGAAGAAAATATCTGATAATATTACTAAATACACAAATTGGATAAGAGATCAAAATAATAGCAGGCTATTATACCTAATACCTAAACAGGCACAGTTGTGTAATTATTGATTAAGAAGAGTAAACTTAATATTCAAGGGACAGAACACGAATTTCAGAATGAAACAGGCTTAAGCTTCAGTTCTGTGCTGGCAAGTGTTAGCAAATGATTTAACCTCTCCACTTCTTCGGTTGCTCATCTTTGAATACAGTCAGCAGTACTTGCAATGCACAGACGTTGGAATAGATTAGGGATACTGTGTGTGAAGCACCCAGACGGTGCCTGGCCTATCAAAAACAATAAATGGTCATCTTATCCTTTTATTACTGGGTGCATAGTAATAAACAGTGATGATAAACAATACAGATTATTGTTCCAAAATTTTCATAGAAGCCAGGGCTGCTTTTGTACCCACCAACATTGGTAAGCTTTGCTGTCCTTGAATGGTAACTGTTTGACCTTGGGAAGGCCCTTCAACTCCCTTCCCTGGCCTCCATTTCCTGATCTGTAACATTAAGGAGTCTTGTCTGGTTCTGAACATCTATGATTCCCTACTCCTAATCATATATACATATATATAATTTTTTTTTAGATGGAGTCTCACTCTATTGCCCAGGCTGGAGTGCAGTGGTGCGATCTCAGCTCACTGCAACCTCTGCCTCCCAAGTTCAAGCAATCCTCCTGCCTCAGCCTCCCGAGTAGCTGGGATTACAGGCATGCGCCACCACACCCAGCTAATTTTTGTACTTTTAGTATAATCCCAGACTCCTGAGCTCAAGTGATCTACCTGCCTCGGCCTCCCAAAGTTCTGGGATTATAGGCAGGAGCCACTGCGCCCAGCCCCTAATCATATATATTTTTAATAGTACAGAGTGGAGCTGTAAAACTTTATTCACTCCCAGCAGTTATCACCCGTGCAGCCAAAACCAAAAAGGAGTGAAAATGCAAATGATGTCATGCTCATATTCAATGTTCATGTTATCCTGCTCAATGTCATGAATGCCAGTGGAGGCCCGTAGATCAGGGATGTCTGTGTGTGCGTGTGTGTGTGCGTGTGTGTGCCTGTGTGTGTTTGTTCCTGTTTTCTCTCCAATTTTGTCTTTATTTGTTTTTGTGATTTCATGTTTAATTTTGAAGCATCCTTACCGTACTCCATACCTTGTCTCCAGTATTTTTTTAGTTGGGTATTCTTTTCATAAAGTGAAATTCACTAATCTTTTGTGTACAGTTAGATGAAGTGACACATGCATTACTGTAACCCATGACCACAGGATGATATAGATCATTCCTTCCATCTCAGAAGACCCTTCATGCCCCTTCCCAGTCAACACTCCCTACTTCAAGACAGCCACTGTTCTGGTTTCTTTCATCAAAGGTAAGTTTTCCCAGTTGCAGACCTTCAAATAAATGAAATCATACAGAAGGTATTCTTTTGTGTCTGGCTTCTTTCATTCAGCATGTTTTTGAGGTTCATACATTTTGTTGTATATATCAATAACTAATTTCTTTTTATTGAGTGGTATTTCATTATGTGAATATGTCACAGTTTATCTATTTTCCTACTGTTGGAGATTTGGGTTGCATCCAGTTTGAGACTATTAAGAATAAAGTGGTTATAAACATTCTTGCACATGTCCTTTTGTGGACATATGGTTTCCTTACTCTCGGGCAAATACCCAGAAGTGGAATTTCTGGGTCATGGAGTAGGTATATATTTATCTTTAGGAGAAGCTGCCAGACCTCTTTCCACAGCGATTGTCCTCTTTGATGGCTGGGCACAGTGCCTCATATGCCTGTAATCCCAGCACTTTGGAAGGCCAAGGCAGGTGGATCACTTGAGCCCAGGAGTTTGAGACCAGCCTGGCCAACATGGCAAAACTCTGTCTCTACTAAAAAATCAAAAAACAGTTAGCTGGGCATGGTGGTACACACCTGTAATCCCAGCTGCTTGGGAAGCTGAGGCATGAGAATTGCTTGAATCCTCAAGGCAGACATTGCAGTGAGCTGAGATCGCGCCACTGCACTCCAGCCTGGGTGACAGAGGGAGATTCTGTCTCAAAAACAAAAACAAAACAACAACAAAGTGATTGTATTCATTACTCTTTAATATTCCCACCAATGCTATATGGGGTTCTGACTGCTTCCTCTCACTGATATTTGCTATTGTCAGTCTTTCTAGTTTTAAACATTTTAAGCATTGTATCTATTACCAAAGAATTTATAGCAAAGAATTTATATTAATATAAGAAAAGATTCTTTCTTCTGATACCAGAGATAGACATACATGGTTCATCAAGTTTTGCATGAATTAGTAAAAAAGGATGAGAGTGTGTAAAATTTAATGTCAATTTAACTGTTCAAAAAGGCTACCTGTTGTAAGTCAAATGATACCAATCTTTATTATGTATGAATGCAAATTCATTTCCTCATGATTTTGTTTATGCTGTTGCTTCTGCCAGGAATGGTCCTGCTTCTCTTTACCATGCAGATTCATCTTTAAGACTTAAAGGATCCCTCCTCCAGGCAGCCTTTCCTCATCTCCTGTCCATCCACAGGGTTGGGAGTACCCCTCACAGGCTGCTACCATACCCAAAGATTACTTTGATTACAGAACTGGTGACATTTTAATTATGTGTTTATCTCCCATACCAGATAATGAGCTCCCCGAGAAGAAGCGTTCCTTATTTATCTTTGTATCAACTGAGCATTTATTGAGTAAATATGTTGATTCTTAATATTGAATCACAGGCTAGGAAGAAATACCTTTTGCATGGCCATTTGTGGGAGTTTCAGTTGGAGGAAGAGATGGGGAGGGAGCCATAGCTGAACAAATTCACAGAAAACTGGGTTTCAGATCATTTTACCTTTCAACTGGGGGAAAAGTGGACTGATGACACAGTCTTTACCAATAGGAAACAGTTGCCCAACGAGTAAGCTTTTGAGTGGTCTGAAGTGGACTTGGGGATTAAAATGATTTTGAAAGTAGAATAGCCACCAAAGATAACTAGTTCAACCTCCTCAAGTTATAAATAAACTGAATACCAAATAGTGGTGACACAGAGTTAGTGGAAATGAAAGGTTTGCCTTCAGCTCTCTTTCCTTTATGCTTTCACAGCTTTATTTTTTGTCATATTGGAGTTTTCTCTTCTCTGTGTTTCACCCCCTACACACACACCATCTCTCTCCCACACCCTCACCTCCTATCCAACTTTGTCCATTACTTAAGAACTAGCCTGGTCTTTTCCCTTTCTCTCTCTCTCTCTCTCTCTCTCTCTCTCTCTCTCTCTCTCTCTCTCTCTCTCTCTCAAAATGTACCTGTTCTAGGCTCCTATTCCATCAAAGCCTACCACCTATAAGAGATAATTCTGTAAAATAATTTAAGCTGAGTTAATAATAATTCTGCCTAACACATCTGCCAGGTTCTTAAATTATCTGCATATGTACTCAGCTACAAAAGCTCTGCTGTGATATTCACCAGCTGAAAAGCATCAGTGCCACCCCTGACACTAGAAAATGACAAGAGGTTTTGGGCGTAAGAATTCAGAGGGAATCTTCCATTTGTTTTTCAGCTTCTAACAAAGCTGGCATTGAGGAGTGGGCCATTCTACAGCAGAGCTTGGAAAGAGGAGTGAAAATCCATGGGAAGCAGATCTTGCATCAGCCCAAGGCAGCACCCAAGAGCAAAGCTCTGGGGCATGAGCCTTTAGGCACCTGCCCCTGGTGCTGCCCCGAGGAAACCAGGAGAGCAGAAGAGCTAAGAAGAAACAAAACCTTAGCTTATTCTAAGTTACCTTGTTAGCTAACAGGTCATACCTCACCTGTCTGGGGAGGAAAGCCCCATTAGGTGGACAGAGTGTTTACCTGAAAGATCAGCTTATGGTATCTTGGTATCTTGGAGAATGTAGATCCAAGGCTGTCAGAGCACTTTGAGGAGTCCCTAGTTCACCCTCAGGGGGCGCCACTAAGGCTTGGATTGCACCTGACACAGAGACAGCAGTGCCTGCAGCCACCATGGTTTCCATGGGGGCAGAGAAATGACAGCTGCATCTGCGTTGCAAGTCCCTGGGCAGATGGGAGCATCTGCTCAGCAAAGACAAAAATCCTCTTTCTACAGGGCCCAACAGATGTGGATCCTAAAGGTAAAAAGATCTTCTTGTAAAATGCAGAGGATAATTTTATATACAAAATTGAGAGCAAGAACAGGCGGGCTGACTTGAGCTTGCCGCAGAGCCTTGCCTGGGCCCTCTGGGAAGATTGAGCCAGTGGACCCTTAGGAGCCTCTTGGTTTTCTTCTGAAGTGCCAGACTGGCCCAGAGGCATCTCTGGAGAGCAGGGAGGCATCATACTCCTTCCATGTTCCTTTCTCTCAACAGAAAATGCATACTCCTGTCTCAATAGGAGGGAAACACCTGCTTCTTGTACCTCCCTGAAACGCAACGTTCAAGTTCTTAGAAGGGTCTTTAGGCTCTCAGCCCTAATGTGTGAGAGTGGAAAATACCTCCTTTCTCCCAAAACACACACACACACACACACACACACACACACACCCACACACACCCCTCCCTGTCAGCCTTGCCTACAGTAGGTTTTCAGTGTTTCTTAGGGCAGGAGATCCCATAAACAAGGTTTTCAGTGAGGATTTCAGAGGTGCAAGCTCTTCTGATTGTGGCTGGGGACAGCACCTGGAGGCCCAAGAGATTCAGACGAGAAACAGAGAGCACTTGGAGGGATCCCACATGGCCAGTGGAAGTCTCAACCTCATCACAGGGCACACAATAAATTAGTGGCCCCCATATAGCCTAGAGCACAAAATGGGGTACAGAAAATGGTCAGCTGGGTACAGGAATAAATATTAGACCTTTATTGATATTCGATTTTTACTTCCTTCTCTAACAGTTTGTATATTTTATAAATGTATGTGATACATTAGTTTAGTTGGCATATGAATACATTTTATATAAATTTTTACATCTGCATTGGGTGTTGTGCCCACAAATGAGGAGGAGCGGGGAATGTGTGATCCCTCACGTAGGATGCTGAGAGGCAGGTTATAGGAAGAGCTCAGTCTCCTCTCCTCAAGCTCTCTTATTCTCTGAGTTGACATTCTACACACTCTCAGTTAGACTGACCAGTTGCCCCTAAGATGCTCCCAAATAATTCCAGTCACTTGGCTGCAAACTAGGATAAGTCTTTGTCATGTGGAGTGAAGCCACATCAATGGCATTCGCTCTCCTTGGGAGAGTGACATATAGAGATTTTCCTGTACATTAAAAAGCCTGTCACAAAAATGTACCAGCAAGAGAAAATAAAGATTAGACAAAGTACAGCAAAACAATGTGACTGTACAAACACCCAGAGGAGAAATCAATTAGCTCTAAGAAAAAGAGGAATCATCCTGCAGCAATTCAACTACAGGCAAAATGAGATCAGAAATGAGTGAAAACAGTGTGTCTCTTTTTTTAATAAGTAGGGATAAGTCACTGGGGCCTCCTTAAAGGAAAATGTCTTTTCAGTGGATTGAGGTTTGCACAACACCATGAGATTTTTTTTATTTTTTGAGGCAATGTTTTCATTTTTGTGGGCATTCAATTCCAGTGGCTAGAACTTGGAACAGTTTCTATTTGGCAAAAGCAACGTATTATGATCTGTAAGTGCATGAAATAAAACCTCATCTTACCTTTGTAAGAAACACTCTGGAGGTACTCTTTGACTTGAGAGGAAGTAAATGAGTTTAAAAGCATTAAGAAATCTGGGTAGGTTTTGTCGTAGTCACTTTGGTACGTGGTCTGTTTCTTTGTGTGCTCTTGGTTCCTCAGGAAGCTGTGCAGCACAGAAGGCACTACAGAAATACACAGGGGAGGACAAGCTGGGAGGCTGGCACCCAAGCACAGCAGTCTTACCCTTATTGTTTGAAAATGACCCTGACAGCCCCCAGCCCAGCTTTGAGCTTAGGCAGTATCCTTCATGATGCTGGTCACTAAGGCTCTGTATTAAACCAGTTCTTCCATTGACCAGGGCTAAGCAGAGCTACAGGGACTTCCAGCCTGTTGCTGCTGGAAGGGGCAGTGATGGGAGACAATGACCAGAAGGGTGAGTTTGACCGTCACTTTCAGAAGAGAAGTTTTCCCTAAACTTGACTCTTATGCAGGTCAGTGTGTTATGACGGTGAAGGAAACTGAAATATTTCACCCCAAATTACACGTCTTTGATATACTTTGAGATGGCTGTTGAGAAGGTTTGCAGACAGAGGTAGCCCTGCAAAGTTGTCTTTGAGAGTGGGGTGACCTGCATCCGTAGGGAATCTGCACTGATGCAACCTGGCTTTCCAAGGCCTTCCCTTGTCTGGATCTAAGAAAGATTAACTAAGATCAGACTTTAGAGGTCTAAAAGAAACCTTTACCATCATTCTCTCTGAGGGCTGCTACCACTGAACAAGACCACCTTTGCTAGCCTGGCCTCCTCTTCTCCCCCTCCCATAACCTGTTTAACCAGCTCTTTCTATAACCTCAGGATAGTATAAAATCATCAACCCTCCCATCATTTCTTTGAGTTCTTATATTTTGCTTGACTCCCGTGCATGTTAATAAATTTATATGCTTTTTCTCCATTTAATCTGCCTTTTGTCAGCTGATTTTTCAGCAAACTTTCAGAGGGTAAAGAGGAAGTTTGCCTTTGGCCGCTATGATGGTGACATTCACTGCCTGCTTAATAAACAAAGGTCCTCATAGAAGCTTCTTTTTCTTTCAGGACATCTCCTGTGCACATTTGGGATGGCACAGTAAGGGACCTCCCTCCAGAGACCTAGGCATCTTCGGATGAGCATTGTGGAAGAACGATGATGTTTACAGTCATGGCTCATTGTCCATTTGGACTAATGGGGGTATGAGGTGCAAGCAACACCCAAATCACTTATATTTGATTATGAATATTGCTCGTTTAATGTGAGTTCTGATATTCAAGAAACTACAATGAAAAAAGTAATAAAGTCACGATGTAAAAACCAATTTGCCCAATCTTTTTAAACCTTAAGAGCAGCTTCCAGCTCCAGGGATCCCCTTTAAGGGGTCATTGAGCAAATGGAGGGCCCAGACTGGTGACGGGATTTGACGCTGCTACCCTGAGAAGAGTGTTTGTAGGGCCTGGAAATGCTCTAACTGGAAAAGAGAAGACTTAGGCTTAGAAGGCATATGGCAAGGTTTTCATAGAATAATAGATTTATACTAATTAACATCCATGGGAAGCAGTGGAACCAGGGGCTAGAAGTTTAGCAAGGAATATTGCAGCTACTACACCTTCTACCCAGTTGGAGCATCGGACAACGAGGGGGCATGGGGCTACCTGAAGTGGATACACAGGGTCACTGTAACCCCTTGGCAAGGATGGAGTCAGGAAGATTCACATACTACATGAGGCTCTGGACGAGGTAATTTCTAGGCCACCTTCTAACCCCGAGGTGCTAAGCGTCAATTCTGTGATTATCGTCTCAGGTACTACTTGATCCCAACTCCATGCCCGGAATGAATCATGTCTTAGACTGACACCACGTTTTCTGCTTAACTAGTAGCTTGGAGGTGGCTTGGTCACGGAATTTTGAAAAACTTTCAAGGGATGCACGTGTGGATACACTTCCAGTAGAAAATTGAGACTAAATTGGATTCCCGCCTCATCGCTTTCTGTCACTTTACAGTAACTGCATCCTTCCTCTCATTTTTTAAAAGGAGGAAGTATCCCCTAATCCCAACCACTGCCCCTCCCCAGCAGGGATGACACTCATTTCTTGGCCTAAGCAGTCAGTCATCTTCTGAAATGTACTGGCTCCCCGGGTTCCAGGTTGGGAGCCGCAGCGATGAGGTTCTGACTTCATGCCAGAATCCCTGGCTTTCTTCTTGACTATTATGAAAACGGGCTGCCAGCGCCCTCTGTGTTGAGAAGTTTTGGGGCCAGGGATTAGGATCTATGAGATTGTTTTAGAAACCGCAGCTGGGCTGGGCACAGTGGCTCACGCCTGTAATCCCAGCACTTTGGGAGGCTGAGGCAGGCAGATCACCTGACATCAGGAGTTTTAGACCAGTCTGGCCAACATGGCAAAACCCTGTCTCTATTGAAAATACAAAAAAATTAGCTGGGTGTAGTGGTGGGCACCTGTAATCCCAGCTACTTGGGAGGCTGAGGCAGGAGAATCGCTTGAACCTGGGAGGTGGAGATTGCAGTGAGCCGAGATCGTGCCACTGCACTCCAGCCTGGGCGACAAGAGTGAAACTCCATCTCAAAAAAAAAAAAAAAAAAAAAAAAAGAAAAAAAAAGAAAAAGAAACTGCAGCTCTACTCACCTAGACCCTGAGAAGCAACGGGCAAGCTTGAGTAGCATCCGTATTTGAAACTGAAATCCTGAAGCTCAGGAATTTTAGCTGGAATTTGGTAATTCCTTCGGAATTCGGTGTCTGGAGGTCGAGGAAGTAACTTGTCACATTCCAGAGACACGTGAGAACTTTTCTTAATCTTTTGAGCTGGGGTGGAATGGAAATGGAAGGCAATACTTACTCCTTGTGAACAAAGTAGCTAAACCCACTCTTGCTGTATTTAGAGGTCCGGTCAAGGTGCTCTGTATGAACACTTCAATGAAGAAATAATTTTCCGCTTTATCAGTCACAGGAAGTATATGCTCAAATGATCAGAAGTGGTCTCTAGTGAATGTATTTTTATGTCACGAGTCTGCTCAGTGGGCACAGAAGATGCTGATCACTCCACAGGGTCTGTCTGGTCCCTGGGGCAGAGGTGGGTGTCAGAGAGATTTTGGATAGGGCCAGGTTGCCATATAAAATGTGGGATGCGCAGTTAAATTTGAATTTCAGATAAATAATGACTTTTTAGTGTAAATACTTGCTATCTACTGCATGTCATTATTCAAATTTAACTGGGCATCCCATAGTTTTATTTGCTTAATCTGGCAGGCCTAGATGGGGTGGTGTATATCATCTCCATTATCTGGAAAAACAAAAAAAAACATTCGAAGCTTATCCCTTACTGATGGAGGGTTAGGTAACATCACTGGCATTAGTGGATAGCACTACTATTATTTCTTTGAAATATCTCTGCTAAAACATATTCATTAAATATCTGTGAAGCACTGAAGCCAGTGTTACAAACATTATCAGATTACAGAGGCAAGAGTTACAATCCATCTCACTTAGAATGAGTTCATTCCTGATTCTTGCTACAAAGACTTAGTTCAGAGGCGTATCATATAACACCATCTTTATTCAGAAAGACAAAGATGTCAAAAACATGGATTTCATGAGCAATGTCCAAACAGTGCAAATTACTGTTGACACTGAACTCAATTCTCTTCCAAATTAGTTTTCCAATAGATCTTTTCAAAATAAATCCTAATATATATTGTATATCAAACGATTTACAACAGTACCTACTGGTATACATTTTATATCAAAGGATACATAATTGCATCTGCTGGCACCTGAGAGCATTTTTATATTGATTTTTAAAAAATGATTTCTGTCTAGACCAGCAGAGGAGGAGAGGATTCCAGTACATGTTGCCTCTTACTTCAGATAACTCAGGAGGAGAGGGCATAGGTATTTAATAGCCCCTGTAATGACCTCATAAACTGCCCAGACAGAAGGCAGGTTATAGAGGGGAGGAACTTGTGGGGCTCAAAATCAGGGCACCTCTTAAGATATTTTGAAAAACCATCTGGCACTGTTCCTGTAACTTCCATCTATAACTCAGTGCCATGATTCGAATGTGTCCCCGCAAAAGAAAACTTAATCCCTAACGCAACAGTGTTGGGAGGCGGGGCCTAATGAGAGGTGTTTGGGTCTTGGGCACTCTGCCCTCATGAGTGGATTAATGCTGTTATCGTGGGAGTGGGCTAGTTATTGCAAGAGTGGGTTCCTGATAAAAGGGTGAGTTTGGCTTCCTTTCTCCCACTTTCACGCTCTTGTCCTTCCATTTTCCACCATGGGATGATGCCGCAAGAGGGCTCTTGCAAGCCGCCAGCATTATGCTCTCGGTTTCGCAGCCTCCAGAACCATGAAACAAATAAATTTATTTCCTTATAGATTACCCAGTCTCACATACTCTGTCAAAGCTGCACAAAACAGACTGAGGCACTTGGTTTTTTCACTAGGAGCTTTATAAGCAAAACCAAATTTCCATTGAAACACTCGATGCTTTCACCTGTATCTCTTCCCTAGAGCTACCATTCCATAGTAAATGTTTGCAGTTCCTCTATCAGTTCTGTGCTATTTGCCAAGGTTACACATAATTAAATCATCGTCCTACCTTAAGACAATGAGTGTGAATACAAAGATATCTACAGAACAAACAGGTAGGGAATGTGGTAATTCTTGCAACCATAACATTTGGAACTGTGGATTTCACATGGAAATATGACATCAGAATAACCTGGGAAGGGTCTCTCAGAATACCTCTGCTGACCCTTATCCCAGACATTGAGAACCTCCAGAAGTGAGCTCCAGGCACTTACACTGTGAAAACAAACCACCCGTGTGCTGAAGAACTACTGACTCAGGGCTTTGAATAGGGTGCTACAGGAGCCCAGAGAGAGTATGAGCAGGGGCTGTGTTGGAGGAAGAGGACGACGACAGGAACTACAAGGCAGTCACAGTAAGGAGATTTGACAACGGGTCGACACAGAAGCAAAGAGTGCCTAGTGTGTTTGTGAAACTTGGCCTTGCTTGCAGAAGGGTGGGGCATGCAGGGCAGGGAGGAGGAGCTGAGGGTAAAACAGGAGAGGCAAGCTGGGGCCAGGCTGTGAAGGGTCTGGAACGTCCATTCCACATGAACAATGATGGACCGGCATAGATGTGGAATCATTGGAGATGAAGACCCAGAAAAGGCAAAAGCCAGGACCTAGACTTAGATATCTATAGAACGAACAGAGAATGTGGTGAGTCTTACAACCAAAACCCTTGGAACTGTAGATCTCACATGCAGATAAGACATCAGAATCACCTGGGAAGAGTTTTGCAGAATACAAAGAGTCTCACTCTTCATTGATCCATCTGTATCTATCACAGTAATAGAACTCATTAAGTATTTACTAAGTTAGTGAGTGAACGTACACACCAAAAAACCTGGAAACATAATTGCTATGGATTAGCAATTAATTTCTGAAATACACTCTAGTGACTGCCTATGTGATCAATCTATGCTTAAGGTAACTCCTACTAAACTATATATTGTTCATTCCATAGCATGGGCTTAGTTCTTTTAAACTGATGCTTTTGTTGTCTTTATAAAATGTTGTGTTAATGAGCTTCACGCGTTATTTGGAAGAGAGATTCTTGATAAAAAGGGACCTAAGCAACATCTAAAACCCCCATAGTTGTGCTGAAGTATGGACAGAAATAATAACCATGAGTTAGAGCTGACCTGACCCGGTGACGCCTCCCCGCAGGGGTCCTGTTCTCAGGAGCTCAGCTCCCCTGGGTTTCTTTTCCACTGGAGTAAAACTGGAATGGTTTAGCCCAAGGAAAGAAACTGGCCCATTTAAGATTAGGTGTGGCATCTGCAGAAAGGCCCAAACCAAAAGTCAGTTTTCAGCAAGGACCATTCAAAACTATTAGGACCAGCCGGGCGTGGTGGCTCATGCCTGTAATCCAGCATTTTGGGAGGCCGAGACGGGTGGATCACGAGGTCAGGAGATCGAGACCATCCTGGCTAACACGGTGAAACCCCGCCTCTACAAAAAATAAAAAATTAAAAAAAAAATTACCTGGGTGTGGTGGCGGGTGCCTGTAGTCCCAGCTACTTGGGAGGCTGAGGCAGGAGAACGGTGTGAACCTGGGAGGCAGAGCTTGCAGTGAGCCAATATCAGGCCACTGCACTCCAGCCTGGGTGACAGAGTGAGACTCTGTCTCAAAAACAAACAAACAAACAAAACAAACAAAAAAGCTTTAAGACCGTTGACACATAACCTATAGCCAAGTGGGAACTAGCTCCGCTGTCTATCAGTTCTGATTCATCGAAGCCACGCTCTCTAAGCCTGAATGTGAAAAGCAGCACCTTTCAGTGCTCCTCAGTCATTTACCTTAATTCCATAATGAGGATAAAAAGCTAAGACATGGCCCTTGTGCTTCAGAAGCTTAGATTATTACAATATCATGAGTCCTACAAAAGAAGTTAAGAACCAGGGCTGTTAAAACACATGGGAGGGCCAACAATCCAAAGGTAGAGGATCAAAGAAGGCTTCCAGAAGAGAGGTGAGGCCTATAACTAGACTTAAATTATGGGTAGACATAGGCTGAGAAGGAAGCGAGACGTGCTCCACAGGGAGGAAGCAATGCGTGCAGCCAGCCCAAGGCCACGAGGCATGGAGGTATGTGGAGGGTGTGAGTCGGGACGGCTGGCAAGGTCATGAGGGTGGGGGCTGACAAGGGAGGAGGCGACGTGGCAGCCAGGACCATATTGTACAGGACTCATGTAAGGCATTTAGCTTTTATCCTGAGGACAATGAAAATTCACTGAAGGGTTTTAAGCCATAAAGTGACATCAGTTTGCACATCTGGAGACTCACTGTGGCTGTCTTATGGACAGTGGGTTAGAGGGGACAAAACTGGGAAAGCTCCTCTAGCTGCCAGGTGGTGAAAGAATTGGAGGGAACCTATGGATAATGCAGGAAGATTGGCTGCCGGGGGAAGGAGATGAGTTGGAATGCTCATGAGGCTTTTACTTAGCACCCAATATAGGAAACTGAGGGTCTGAGGAGAGGTTTGGGAAGAGATACAAATGTGGAGGTTCTCAGGATAGTTGCTCTTTGAAGGAATCAGAAACTCTAATAGAGGCCAAACAGAAAAATGACCAGACAGAGGAGTCAAAAAAGTAGGGGGGAACTGGAAGTGTGTGGAAACACAGGAGTGCAAGGAGAACAGTGGTCCAAGAGAGACAGCAGAAACCACAGTTAATGATGCTCAAAGGCTGGGTAAGATGCAAATGGAAAAATCTCCGTTGAAGGTCATTGCAGACCTTGAAAGGAGCAGTTCAGTGAATGGTCGGGGCAGACACCAGGCTAGAAGGGGTTGAAAAGTCAAAGGGTAAGCTTCCCATTAAACTCAGTGGATTGTATACCTGTATTTAGGACTCCTCTGTCCCCAAACTCCATTGGAATGATCGTAGATTAGAAATGTTCATACATTTTTAGAAAATGGAAAACAAATGTAGATATAGTAACAGATTGAGCAAAGTAGAGGAAGCTGAAGCGTAGATGACTGCAGAGGGGAATAGCAAAGACGTGAACTAGGTAACCCACACTACAGAGAACTTACAGGCTCAAAGGTAACAGGTACAGTGGAAGGCAGTGAATGAGGCTCAGGGCTGAACACAGAGGCTTGGCTATAAACTTGAATACCAAATGGCTTCCCGGAACAACTTCATAACCCCGCTTCATTATGTGACTATTCCTTCCTAACCAGAAGTTTATTCTCTGCAAAACTGAACCAAAGAAGCTCTGGACTGAGGGACACCAGGCACAGTAAAAGGTGAGTGGAGTGAGATGCTTGATTGAAAAAAGAGGGTTCAGTGAACGTCTGCACACCAGCCAGGAAGATCCCAACCCCTTGCTTCGCTGATCCTGCTCTCAGAATGCCAGCAGTCAGAATTACCTCTCTGGAGAGACTGATCCACAAATAATGACATTTAGGGATTTCCCCAAAAAAGATAGCTCATCCTCTAATCACCTAAGTCAAGTACCAGCTAACAAGTCCCTTCTCTGTACATAGTTTTTAATTATATTTGAGTACTTCCTTTCTAGGTTTTTGAGCCCTGGAGTTTAATATTTTGTGTGCACCCACTTTAAGAAAAACAAGAGTTCACAAAAGTGAAACTTGAGTTGAGCTTTATAATAAATCTGCCTGTGGTCCCTTACAAATATGGACAATCAATTTTCATTAGACCATTAAGACATTCAGAGAAAAATAGATACAATGCAAGAAACAGATGAAAATGCTGAAAGTATATCATAAATATCTTAAAACTCATGAGAATTATTGCATCTATAAAATAAGAACAGAATGCTGTTTTTAAAAAATAATTGGAGAGAGGAAGAAAGAGAGCTTAGAAATTAAAAATGTGAGACATGTAATAAAATTTATTAGAAGAGCTAGATTAAAAAATAAAGACGCTTTCAGCTGGGCGTGGTAGCTTACATCTGTAATCCTAGCACTTTGGGAGGCCAAGGCGGGTGGATTGCCTGACCTCAGGAGTTTAAGACCAGCCTGGGCAACATGGTGAAACCCCGACTCTACTAAAAATACAAACAAATTAGCCAGATGTGGTGATATGTGCCTGCAGTCCCAGCTACTCAGGAGGCTAAGGCATGAGAATTGCTTGAATCCAGGAGGCAGAGGCTGCAGTGAGCCAAGATCACACAACTGCACTCCAACCTGGTGGAGACTCTGTCTCCATGAAAAACAAACAAACAAACAAAACATAAAAGGTAAAGAAGTTTTCAAATAAACAGAACAAAAATACAAACAGAAAGAAGCTAGGAGAGAAAAGGTAAGATAATTCAAGGCTCAATCCAACTATCCAGTAGCTTCCTAAGAAAGGGTGTATTGGAGGAACTTTCGAAAGTATATTCTTGTCAATCTGGAAATGTCTATTTTTCTTCATTACACTTGCTTGATAGTTTGGCTGGATATAGAATTTTAGGTTGGAAATCACTTCCCTTCAACACATTTTTCCAAATGTCTTCTAGCATCCAGGATTTCTGTGTAGAAGACAGATGCCATTTTAATTTCTCATCCTTTTTTTATGTTATCCCCCTGGAAACTCTTAAGATCTCTTTATTCCTGACATTCTGAAATTCCACACTTACATGCATTAGTGACAGTCTTTTGTCATTCATTATGTCAGGCATTCAGGGGCCCTTTCAATCTAGAAACTCTGAGAATTTTTTCCTGCATTACTCCTTTAATATTTTTCTCTCCTCTCTTTTCTCTGTTCTATTCTGTCATTGTGTTTGGGAAAAAATTTGGTAAGTGTACAACAAAGTATAGAAAAAAATAGTGATGGGCATGTAGAAAACTAAATACGTAGAGAAAAACAATTAATTCTGGTAAAAATAAGAGAAAACAACAAGTAAAGGAAATAATGAAATACAACTTGGCTCAGCAGCAAACATTTACATACTCGTGTAATCACAGTATGTCATATCATAATATATACACTAGCAATTGAATTTAAGAAGAAATCTGTAATATAATTATATTGACATGATAGATGGAGGACCAGTGAGACAGAGTTATAGGACAGCCAAATCCTCGACTTCCAAAACAGAAGTCAATAATGTCTAAAATTTATGAATGAAGGAAGAGCAGTAGAAGCATATTATTTAAAAATCACGTAAGAAGAAATAGTTAACCAGATTGAAATTGACTGCCAATGAGAAATAGGAGTAGGGATGGAGCAAGGTAGGTCAAGGAACTACTGTTGTTTCTTTATAAGCCTCTAAGTAATCATTTAAGTATACGCATACATTCGTTTAATAAAAGTAAATTTTAATTTTTAAAAACTATAAACAAGAAGTTAGGAATTCAGAACACCATGTATAAACTGACACTTGAAGAAATTTTAGCTGGGAAGGAGGTAGTTCTAACAAGAGAAGCCAGACTGCCTGGGTTCAAATCCTAGACTCCACCAGTCCTGAGCCAGGCAACCCTGGGCATGTTGCTTAACCACACTGAGTTTGAGATCCCCCTCTTTGATTGGAGGTAATAACTTCAAAGGTTGTGAAAATTAACTGCGTTAATTTATGAAAAGCTAAGGTCTTAGTAAACGCTGGCTGTTTATGAAGGGAAGCAGAGAAATGAACAGTAGCTAAAAGAAGAGATGGGGCTGAGGGAAAGCTCTGTTTTTGTTTTCATCTGGAACATGCTAGATGGGATACACTACAGTCAATGTGCATGCCGGTGGGGTGGGATTAATACTTTAGAGATAGAGGGATGACGTTGGAGAAAAGGCCAGAGAACTGGAAAGATAAAATTCTTGTTTAGGGGACAGGGAGACAGATCCGCAGCTCACAGGGATCGATGGCACTGTTGGGGCAGGAAGGGGGACATAGGATGAAAGTAGAGACACCCAGGCCTTGCGAGATGTGTCATTCTCCTCTCCTCAGGTGAACAGGGGCCTCAGCAGTCCCTGGCTTGTGTTCAGAGCCCACAGGACAGCCAGCCTTCCTCAGCTGTCACTGGGTGTCATTATTTTGTCACCAAAAGGCAGAACACCAGTACTCCAACTGCCATTTTGTCACAGGGCTTAGAGTCGTGCACCAAGGTGTGTTGCTTTGTCAGTAACTTACGAAAAGGTTTCCATCTTTGAGTTTAAAAATACAATCAATTTTCATGAATTCTCAATAAAGTAAATTTCCTGCTGATAAGCAAGAACAAAATTGCATTGAATCACCAAATATGTCATTTCTGGAAAATGTGTCGGTCTAGATGGAACTCAGTTTTGACCCCCTGAGACATGGAAGCTATGATGTCGTCTCTACTTACCCTGCAAAAAACCAGTCAAAGGTGTTCCCAGCCCCAGAGCCCTAAGGGCAGAGCCAGGTGAAGCGTAAGAGAATCTAGATTCTCACAGGGGAATCTGCACAGCAGAGCTCCCATCCCAGGACACATGTGCTGTTCCAGGAAGCAGGATGAACAGCATGCTGGACTTTTCATCTCTAACAAGGGAGAGAATAAAATGGCCCTCACTTCATCCTCTCGTGGTTTCCTACTTATCTACGGAAGACACCAGCATTCCATCCACATGGAACTCCAAGGCAGACTCCTGTTACTCCCTTATCCCTGACATCTGTCAGTCACTCATCCCTATTATTCATTCATTTGTTCAGCCCATATTTATTTTCATCACCTGTGATAAGCCAGGCACTGGGGTGGGTGCTGGTGAGACAATGTGAGCCAAAGAGCCACAGCCTCTACCCTGGAAGGGGCTTATTGCTGACTGAAGTGCCCATGCCACCACCTTGCAGATCCTGCTTCCCCCCCACACTGCCACAGCCCTGTGTCAAGCGACCTCACTCCTTTCTGCACTCCTCTAACAGGCTCCTCCTGTCCATCTTCCTCCTGCAGGCCATCTCCGTTCTTCACTCTGCAGCCAGCGTGAGGCTTCTGAAAGTCGACATCTGAATTGTGTCACTACCTTAATAAAAACCTCTTAATTGCTTCTGGGATGAACTCCAAACTCTTTAGTGTGCCCTGTAAGGCCCTTCCAGACTGGGCGCTCTCTGCGCACGCTGATCTCCTCCCTCAACCCTCCCTTTGCCCTTGATGCTCTGCTCTTGCTGAAGTTCTTTTAGTTCCTGAAATGTTCCTCCAGGGCTTTCAATCCTGCAACACCACTCTCCCCTCCCTCTTTGCTTGGCTCATTCCTCTTCATCCTTTGGGCCAGGCAGGGAAGCCTTTCCTGACCCCCGACCCCACACTAGGCTGGATGTCCTCCTGTATGCCCATAGCAACCCTCATTTCCCACAAGGTGCACCTTTTGATACTTGATGGTTTTTATTTGCAAAATTGCCTGTTTCCATGCCTGGACTTTGAGTTCCTTGAGGGAGAAGAACACACGCATGCTGCCGAACACCGCAACTCCAGGGCCTACTACATGACCCGGCAAAAAAAAGGAAAACTAACGTGTTTACCTTTCGATCTGTCCACAAAGTCTCTCTTAGTAAGGGAAATAAACTGATTTGATAGTGCCTTGTTAACTTCTTTCATTGAAGCAGGGATTTTCCAAGGGAGGCTGTTCTTTAGTGTCCTCGTTTGTTGACAGTGAGGTAGCGTCCACGGGAAAACGCCCTATCAAAGCAAACACAATTTTCAAGAAAATCTATATGGGCTCACCTAATAGGATCAATAATCTGAGTGTCTGTATGCACATATTCTTCAGAATCCTTTACAACCAGCTGCCACTGCAGGTGCGTGGATGCAGGGAGCTGGTGAACAGGAGCCATTGGTTGACCTAGCCGAAACGCAGGCTCCGTACATTTCTTTGACTTTTCACATTGAAAATGAGAAAATAAGATTGAAAACTTCAAAGAGTGTGCTTCCAACCAGAAGTCTCCTACAGATAAGACCAGGGGAAGAAATAACCCATGTGAATTCTAGTTCTGGCCATTCCCAAGGAGCACAGGCAGCGACTGCTTTCCCCTTGGGAGCCCCTGAGGAAAACCCTGCCTCACATGCAGAGGCCTCAGCAACTTCCTGGAGGACAGGGAAAGGCCAGCACTCTCTTCTCACCTCCAAAGAGATTTTAGGATGATAAAACTTGAAACCTCCACCTCCTCTTGCCATCGTCCCTCTTTCCCATGATCTTGCTTCCTATTTCCCTGAGAAAACTGAAGCCACCAGAAAAGAACTTCCACAGGCCACGAACCGTGTCCCAGCCACTGCACCTGCACTCACACATGCTGTGATGGGAGGGGAGCTGCAGGTGCTCTCAGCAAGGCCCAGCCCTGCCTGCAGCACCAGATCCCTCTCTACTGAGTCTACTCCAGCAAATCGCTCCAACAATCCTCACTTGTCTCTTGCAACTTGAATCTCTTCCTTTCTGCTGGGTCATTGCCGTCAGTATCCAAGCATGCGTTTATTCCTCCTGTCTTAAAAAGAAAGCACTCTCTTCACTCTACTTCCCCTTCTAGTTACTAAGCTATTCCTAGTTTCCCTTTGCACCAAAATTCTTCAAAATAGTTAGGTATACTCACTGTCCCAAATTTGCCTCTTAAATCTCTTTTAATTTTCAAGTTCTCTCTTGATCCCCTTCTTTCCCTCACAATTTATCGACTGGAAAAACCAATATATAAAATTATAATTTATCTATTGAAGAAGTCATTTGATGTGCAGGGGTCCCCACAGTCTGGATTTTGTTGATTGCGTATGCATTTGTTGTTTAACAAGTTCCTCTGTCCCCTATATTTCCTGCAAATTGGCAGGTGGATCCAGAGACTCAAATTCACCAAACTAGAAGTCAAGTGTGTCCAATCCACGGCCCCATCCAGGACGGCTTTGAATGTGGCCCAACACAAATTCATAAACTTTCTTAAAACATTATGAGATATTTTCGCGATTTCGTTTTTTAAAGCTCATCAGCTATCATTAGTGTTAGTGTATTTTATGTGTGGCCCAAAGCAATTCTTCTTCCAATGTGGCCCAGGGAAACCAAAAGATTAGACATCCCTGAATAAATGGCGTTTCACAAGGCTGTAGGAGGCGGATAATATATGATTGTTTTTCTTGTGTAATGTTAGCCGTTGTTGACATTCAATGCCTCGATTAACAGGAGCTGCCGTCTGGCATTTGAACACTCATTGACTGAGAACACACAGGATGGTCTGCCACACTAGCTCTCATTGGCTGAGGACAAGATAGTCTGCCACACTAGCTCTCATTGGTTGAGAGCCTTCAATAGTACTTAGAGGAAGGGAAAAGTATATGGTCGTGTGTTTGTGGGTGTATAAATACTGTATAGTATTGTATACATACAGTATAATATTGTAACCAACTCTTTTACATTAATTGTAAAATATAAAGGGTGACCAAGCATAGTGTCTCATGGCTGCAATCCCAGGGCTTTGGAAGGCCAAGGTGGAAAGATTGGTTGAACCCAGGAGTTTGAGAACTGCCTGGGAAACAGAGTGAGATTCCATCTCTGCAAAAAGTAAAAAATTAGCTGGGCATGGTGGCACGCACCTGTACTTCAAGCTACTCTGGAGGCTGAGGTGGGAGGATCACTTGAGTTCAAGAGTTCAGGGCTGTAGTGAACTCTGATTGATTGTGCCACTGCACTTCACCCTGGGCCACAAAGCAAGATCTTGTCTCTAATATATATGATTATATGCAATAATACATATGTTAGAGACATATTTATATATTATATATAAATTATATACTAAATATATAATTTATTTATTATATATTATATAATAAATATATATTATAATATATATAAATTATATATAAAATATATAGAATTTTTATATATATTATATATATTATATATAATATATATAATTTATATATATAATTTTTAGAGATGAGTTTTATGTATATATCTCCAGGAGAGATATATATATATGTGTGTGTATATATATGTATAAATCTATACATATTTTTTTTCCAGGGTTGAATAGATTACAATGAATGGATAACACAAGGAACCACCAAATTGAATTGGCTATATGTGTACATTCTAATGACTTCCAAGTCCATATGTCCAGCTCATCTCTCCCCCATGAGCTCCAGACCTGTCTATTAAACTGCCAGTTTGACATATCTTCAACCAACAGGTCTTCAACTAAAACTACATGTTCCCCCAATGCCCTTCTCCACCCAACCTAGTCCTCCACCATGTTCCAGCTGAGTAAACAGCGTCTGCATATGCTCAGCTGTCCAAGTCAGAAGTTGAACATTATACTTTCCTCTTCCTTATCCTTTGCATCCTTTTAGTCATCAAATCCTGTTCATTCTATGTCTTATCATCTATTGAATGCATCAAGGTGGCTCCATCCTAGGTGGTCCCATCCCACGTGGCAGTCAAGTAAAGGATACCCTTTACTACAACCAAGCATTGCCTTTTGTGATGGGAGAAGGGAACAGAAAGCCAAGAAAACACACAGGGAGAATCAGTTATTTCCATCCAGGGGAGAAGGGCTTTCTTTAATCCGAGTCTCAAATAAATATAGGGATTCCCTTAGTGCATAGGATAAGGGCATTCTAGGTAGAGGAAACAGAATGATTTTAAAAATGGAGGTTTGAAAGTGCATGAAACATAAGGCTAAGCACAAATACTTGTACGTGGCTGTTCACAGCAGCACAATTCACAATAGCCAAAAAGTGGAAACAATCCAAAGATGCATTAATGGATGCACAGACAGACAAATTGTGGTTTATCCATGGGAGAGAATATTATTCAACTGTGATGAAGAACTGGAACTACTGATATTTGCTACATGGATGCTACATGGGTAGTCTTCATAATAGTGCTTTTCCTGTCATCTTTCTAGTCACATAATTTCTTAGCTGATGAACCTTGAAAACGTTATGCTAAGTGAAAAGAAGCCAGACACAAAAGGTCACCCATTCCACATAAAATAGGTGGAATTCCACACCTAGTCCACCTAAAATATCCACAAAAGGTAATCCACAGAGGTAGAAAGCAGACGGTGGGGAGTGGAGTTGGGGGTAATTGCTTAATGGGTATGAGGTCTCCTTCTAGGATGATGAAAATGGTTTGGAACAAAAAAAGAAGTGACGGCTGTCCAACAACATGTATGTACTAAATGCCACTGAATTGTTCACTTTAAAAGGTTAATTCTATATTATGTAAATTTCACTTCAACTTTTAAAAGTCCTTTTTAAAAAAAAAAACTCCAGGGGATAGAACGTAAGTGGTTAGAAATAAATGTGAGATGGTAGACAGGAAATAGTCTGAAAAGAACCATGTATCCTGTAACTGTAGAAGCTGAAAGATCTTTGTGACATATTTAAACTCTCATTCTTATGGGTTGTTGATACAGTATTAAATTCGACACATATGTAGATATTATCTTACTTCATTGAGATGGGATTTGTGGCTCTTGATTCCTCTCGAAGGCTCAGTTTTGATCAAATCTTCTTTGGAGTATGATTTCCAAGTGTACTCATCATTGTATTGTGTCTGATTGAGAATAGGATCACTAAGTGAATATGTGTATCCTAATCTTCTGATACCATTTTGGCTACAAAAAAAAAAAGAACCCCCAGCAGAAATTAGAGTCAGAGGTTAAATACCAAATCTCACAAAAGTACCCATGTCAAATCATTTTACCCCTTACATTTTTTAAAAAGATAGATTGACATAAGAGTTGATGCCAGAACTAATTTAATTTCAGGTTTTCCTTGAAGGAAAACAATGCTGTATTTTCGGATGGCTTTTAACAAAAGTACAGAGGCCTAAAATAAAATTTAAAAACATAACAATATGAAATTTATTTCATTAATTTTTTAAAGAGCTGAACACTCTCCAGTACAAATGGCACTTCAGTGCAACCAAATAGCTGGTGAAGAAAAGCTTCTCTCTATAGAAATCTTCTATCTGATAAAGGGAAGAAATATAAGAATTGAAATATCACTAGTTTCAAGCACCTAATGAAATAATGAATCTAGGCAATGACCAGCAGTGTCCACTCGCAGCTCCAAAAGAGGACCACCAGACACTATCAGCTTCTGAGTGAATACATGCATTGCCACATATTAAATATCTTTGCCAAAATGCAGAACTTGAATCAGATGAAGTCTTTACAATGTTGGATTACAGGAAATACATGAAAAGAGAAATCATTTAAATGGCATCATGGAGATTAAAAAAAAAAAAAAAAGTCCCAGAACAATGATTCTGTTTGTTCAACAGTGAATTTGTCAGAAAAAAAAAAAAAAGGTTCTCTCTCTCTCTCTCTTTTTCTTTTTTAAGATTAAATGAAATAAGAGACATAATAACCAAATGAAATGTATGGACCTTTCCTGGATTCAATTTCAAACCACTGCCTTTATAAAAAAAAGTTATGACACAATTGGAGAGATTTGATTGCTGATTGGCCATTTGATATTAAGGAATTGGTTTTCTTAAAGGTGAGATAATAGTATTGTTACAATTTTTAAAACATTTTTTATCTTTTAGAGATACATACGAAATCTTTAGAATTGAAATGATACAACGCCTGGGATTTGCTTCCGCATACTCCAGTGGGAAGGATGAGTGGAGGGTGCAGATAACAGTAGCTAACGAGCGATGATTGCTGTTGCTGGCTCGTAGTGGGGGATTCCTTGTATGTTCCTTTGTGTATGTTCAAAATATTTCATTTTGACTTATCTTTAAAAGAGGGCTAGATAGATTCAGATTATCTCTGTAAGAAACAAATATCTGGGATGTTGGAAACAAACATCCAGATGATCATTTATTGTCATTCAGATATAAAATGGAGAGTTTCCAAAGGGAGAGGATACAGCACAAACAACTGTTTTGTTGTTGTTGTTGTTGTTGTTTTCTGTTTTTTTTGTTTGTTTGTTTTTTGGTTTTTTTTGAGACAGAGTCTTGCTCTGTTGCCTAGGCTGCAGCGCACTGGTACCATCATAGCTCACTGCAGCCTCAAACTGCTGGGCTCTATCTATCCTCCCACCTCAGCCTCCCAAGTAGCTAGGACTTACAGGCATGTGCCACCATGCCCAGCTGATTTATTTTTTATTTTTGTTTTTTGAGATGACGTCTCATTATGTTGCCCAGGCTGGTCTTGAACTTCTAGCCTCAAGCGATCCACCCGCCTCAAGTAGCTGGAACTACAGGTGCATGCTACAGGCTGGGATTACAGCCGTGAGCCATCACACTTAGCCACAAAAAGCTTTAAAAGAATCAATTTTCAGATCTCAATTTCTCAATATACTCTTTCCTAGAACATATCCGCCTGAGAACAAACCCGCAAATGTATGTGGGTTCTTTCTTCCTACACCCCTTGCCTGATTCTCTCTTCTCCATTTCACCACAGGCTCTTTCTATGGTGCATTGCCTCGAGGAATAAGCCTCCAACCGTGAGGGGGGCCTCCAGTGAAGGGAAACATGGTCGGAGTGACTTCAGAGACACCTCCTTGTAATCCAAGCTCCATTTGGAACCACTTGCCTGGGCTTGTGGTTCTCAATGTCATGTGTATTTCTAGAGAGTGAAGGGCTGTGCTATACCCAGGGTACTAGTTCTTTGTGGGTGGCTCTGAATTTAGGTATGTCATAGAGCATGGCTGAGAGGAATGTCTGGTTTTCTATCTCCTAACAATTATAAAACATTCACATCCTTTTAGGGAGAGGCCTCTGAGAGAAGAGCAGAGGATGCAGAATGCTTAAAATGACTCCTTTCCTCCCACATTTAAAGATAGGCATTTATCAGCTTATCTCTAGGACATGCCATTAGCTGGAAAGAAAAGCAGCTTTGAGGTGGTGAAGCAGCACAGGTTGGTCACACTGATTACTTTAAATGTAACCAGAATCTTGCCTTTTTTTTTTTTTTTTTTTTTTTTTAAGACAGAGTCTCACTCTGTCACCCAGGCTGGAGCAACCTCCACTTCCCGGGTTCAAGCAATTCTCCTGTCTCAGTCTCCCGAGTAGCTGGGACAACAGGCACATGCCACCACTCTGGGCTAATTTTTGTATTTTTAGTAGAGACGGGGTTTCACCATATTGGTCAGGCTGGTCTCGAACTCCTGACCTCAGGTGACCCACCTGCCTTGGCCTCCCAAAGTGTTGGGATTACAGGAATGAGCCACCATGCCCAGCCCAGAATCCTTTACGAGACAGCAAATTTTCAAAGATACACTAGATAAAACTGACAAATAGGAATCTTGTATTTTTTTTCAGGTTTTATATTAATCATTCAATAAAGTATTTAAATTTTATTCTGAATCCAATCATGTTACAAAATACTCCAGTACAGCCAAGTTTCATTTTATTTTATGTTGTAAAATATTTAACAATAAATGAAAGTATAGGCTGACCTGCCAGAACAATTTTAATTTTCACTATATATAACTTTCTTTCATTGAATACTAGTAAATATTTGATTTGATGTCTGATGAAATTAATAAAATTGTTTCTGTTTTTACACATAAGTATTTAATCATTCCCAAAAGGAAAGCAGCAGAATTCTATATACATGAGAATATATTTAGGAAACATCATGCTTTTTATTATACTCTTCACAAACAACTTATACATTTATCTACACATTTTATTGCATTATTTTTGGATACATTGCAATGAAATGTATAGCTAACTGTATAAGTTACCTGTATATAATTAATCATATCAGACTCAAATCTTTTAACACTTCTCTTGTGTACTTTTAATTGTCTTCTCTACAATATGCATTCCATAATTTATTTTTCAGTGGTTTTTATAATATTCTCAAAATATATATTAACATTTATTTGAATTGAAAGTGTAACTAGATTTTATTTGGACAGGAAATAAACCTGATTTTATTTATGGATTTGAACAACAAGGACTGATTTTACCAACTAGGTAAAGATGGTATAAACTGTATAAGCTAAATGTTCAACTCCAAGATTTTGATAAAAATGTATTCAAAGTATGATAAAAGCCTTTTATGAAAAAAAGTTTGTATGATAAAAATTTATTAAAATTTGTGTTTCCATTTTCCAAATCCTTTTTGAATATAGAAAATTAAACAAGTTGCCGCCAAGTGAAATAGTAACAGGTGCAATTTAATAGTCATGTGTTAAGACATGTCTTTTCAGCATATTCTCAGAAACTGAGATAGGGAATAACTCAATGACTGGATGATAAATCATCTTATTAATTGCTTTCAGCAAAATTGAAGGAGTACTCAAACCAAGCTGTCAGCTGATCAGTCATTAAAAATCACATTGTGATTTCTGGGACATAATTCAGAAAGAGTTCAGAGTACTGAGTGACACTGCTATACTAAAACTCCTTTAATTTGCACCTACTTATTTAAATATATATATATATGAACAAGGTTTCTTAACATTAGAAGCAGAAAAAAGTGATGCTGAGTGCAGTTGCATTCTAAAAATAACAACACTCAAAACTAGATATATGAACTAATTGAAAACTAAACAGCCACATTTATCTCATTAAGATGCAGTTGCAAAAAAATTTACTTTTTGTATTTCATAATTATGAGCATTTATAATGTATTTATTGCTTTGAGCAATTGTGTACTAAAATAATTGTGATAACTCTATACTTAGGGTCATATAACATGTTTAAAAATTAATTTCAATTAATATACTAAAATAGTTGCAAAGAAGTATAATAGAGTGATCAATAAATTGCTTTCAAACATAAAATATATTACAGCAGGGAAAAATTCTATGGAGGAAGTGGAGTGGGAATGAGAGTTCAAGAAGAGAAAGAAATGAAATAAGTGATCAAAGAAGAGCTTATTTGTGTGTTTATTTAAAAGATCATGGCAGGTATTAATTTGCTAAAGCATTCAGAGTATTCATTGGTTTTATTGAAAAGTTTCATTTTAAAATGTCAATATGTAGGATGGGGAAGAAGTTTAATCTTTTGCAGTTATTTAAATTTATGTTGACATTTGACAAAGCCATCATACAAAGACTCTCTATAACCAGGGAACTTATACAGAGTCTTCACGCCTGAAAGCACCAAGAGCCAAATTAGGCTACAACAAACTGTAAACATTAAGGTCACATCCTTAAGGGGGGAAAAAGAAATTTTAAAAAATCAAATAAAAAATAAATTCAAGAATAATTAGAATAAATAGTCTACCCAAATGAGAAGGAACCAGAAAAATAATTCTGGCAATATGACAAAACAAGGTTCTATAACATCCCTGAAAGATCACACTAGCTTTCCAGCAACAGATCTAAACTAAAATGAAATCTTTGAAATACCAGATTAAGAATTCAAAAGGCTGATTATTAAGCTACTCAAGGAGATACCAGAAGAAGGTGAAAACCAACATAAAGAAACTAAGAAACAACTCAGGATATGAATAAAAAATTTTCTAAAGAAATAGATTTTTAAAAATCAGAACTGGAAATGAAAGACACATTTAGAGAATGACAAAATGCAGTGGAAAGTTTTAACAGACTAGAACAAGTAGAAGAAAGAATTTAAGAGCTAGAAAACAAGGCTTTTGAATTAACCCAGACAAAAATAAAGAAAAAAGAATAGAAAGAAATGAGC